ATGACCGCGAGGGACAAGGCTGGGGAGAGTCGGAAGCAAGGGGCCTCCTCTTCCCAAAGCCGCCTCGGTTGTTCCCGGTATGGAAAAGAAGCGGAGTCCAAGTACGTACAGGGTCTTCGGGTGACGCTAGCTCTGCTCACACTACTGGGGTTGACACAACCAGAGGCTGACACACCAAAGTGCAGGAAAGGGTCGCTATTCCATGCCCCCCAACGGAGATGACAAGCCAGCAGCACAAAAATCCGGGAGACCAGAGTGTGAAGCACTTTGCCTTCTCGGCAGACCGAACGTCCCATCCTCCCCTCCCCCAAATCTCAGCCCCCGAGGTGCAGAATGTACCCGACGTTTTCATTTAGCTGGGAAACACCGGCATTTCTGTGAAGAAACATCCCGCTCCAAACTCATCAATATCCCCAGATTCCTGAGAAAGGAGGCGGGATGGACCCTCCCCAAGGGATCTAGGGATTAAACGCACACCCGAAGCCCACTCCCTTCCTAAAGCCAGTTCCTTTTCCGTGGAACGAGCGGGGATCCCTGCCCCCTAAAGAAGCGGAGGGGCGACTACAAGTTGGCAGCTCTGAACTCCGACCGCTGCACGGGAGGCAAGAGGAGGCAAACCCAAGAGGCATCTTCGGCAGCGCTGGGGCGAGCCGGAGGGCGTTTCCGGCACGGAACAGATGTCGCGCGCCGTGGTTTATCGCCGTCGCTTGGCTGTACATCCTTCAAGTGAAAAGCACAGGCCGTAGTGTCTACGCCCGCCAGCGTCCCTCCCCCGCCCCCGTTTTGGTATCGACGCTTCATTCCCCCGTCTTCGGGTTACGTTAAGTGCACAGAAATATATAGCAGCATTTGGACCGAAACCCTCACATACACCAGACAGCACATTCCAGGAGGTAAAACAACACACGATGGCCTATACCCTCAAGGTATCAAGTTTTCAGGATAAAGAGCAGTAAGGATGTGGAGAGCCGAGGGCGGAAGAGGAGGAGCAACACGGGAACACGAGTTCCGTTTCCATGCCGGGAGAGGATCAGGGTGCCGTTCCTGTGTTAGCACCGAGCTGTGACACAACCGCGGACAAAGCAGACGGGCAGAGCAGGAGTGAAGAAGCCAACCTCCCGCCTCCCCGCAGTGTTGGGGGCAGGGGCGAAGTCAAGTGCATTCACCAATCCCAGCGGAGCGCGAAAACAGGCAAAATCTGCTCGGCCCGTTTCCAAGAACGGATTTCTCTTCAACGCTCAAGAGAAGAATCAATTAGTGATGGCTAATGAGTCTTGTTCACCAAGCTGATCGCAAATCACACTCGTGGAATCTACAGAACTGCTCCAGGCCGAGGCCCTTCCGAAGCGCCGGGCACCAGCTGGGATCGTCCCTCTCCCTTCTCGCACAGCAGCCTGCCTTCGTAGGGGAAGTCGGTTCTAAACATGCCTTTCTATTGCTCTGGGGGGACTTTGCACAGGCAGTGTCTGTGAAAACATTGCTTTCCAGCCCACAAAAGAGAGGTTGCAACCCCCTCTTCAGCCCTAGGTCGTCAGACTACAATGTACGGGCCCACCGGTGCCAGGGTGAGGACACACACCATACTCTACCCTGAGCTCCTCTGCTCCAGACCGAGCGCGTGACTGCTGACGACAGTGCATTCGAGCTTGGTGTGCAAGTGTTGCACCAACGGCCTTCACCGTTACGGTGGAGGCAGAGTCACCCTTCAAACCCACGAGAGAAAAGGCTGGGCTTCGACGGGTCCCTGTCCGGCATTCAGCTGGAAGCCGTGGCGATGGGTTTCTTCAGGTGTTGGCTCATGAGCTCCCTGGCACGAGACACTTGGATGTGGTCATAACAGGAGTTACAAACGAGGACAGGGTCGTAGAGCTGCTGATCAGGGATGGGCAACTTCAGATGGCAGCAACCAGCACAGAACACGTTCCCACAGTTCCTGTCGAGGAGGAAGAAGAACCAGTGAAAAGGGGAGCTGGGAACACCAGGGCGAAACTCCAGGAAGCACAAAGGATGCAGTTCAGGGGCAAGTACCAGCCTCACTTATGCCTCGTCAGCGCTTCTCAAAGTCTGTGCTGTGGTCTGGGGCGCAAGCTAACCGGCTCGCACGGAAAAGGGACGGATGGGCATTGCTACCCAGCAGAAGGGCCACAGAATCAAAGGCTTTGGAAAAAGTAGAAACAAGAATGACGTAGAACGGAGACCTACAGGGCATTTATGAGGCCTGGCAAACAAAGGAAAGGCCTAAAAGCTTTCTCCTGGCAGCTGGAGGGAACAAGCATCGCAGATGGGGATTTTGCGAGGTTTGCGAGAGACAGGCCGAGAAGCAGCGTGGAACCACGGGGACGGTATCGTTTACCTGCAGTGATGCCTCCGCTTGGCCAGCCAGAATTCACAATCGCAGTTAAAACAATGCGAGGCCATGTGGTCTGGAACCCACCGCGTGACCTAGGGCAGACACCAGGCCTCATCAGCTTTGAGTTTGTGAACACCACAACCACCACGTCTCGGGGCCCCAGCGCAGGCTGAGGCGCGGCTCTGGGCCACAGGAGGCTGGCTCAGAGCGAGCCCACCCCACAGGTGCCCTCCGAGGGGGCAGAGCAGCACAGAGGAGGTGCTGAAGGATGGGTGGCTGCTCTCTGCCTGCTTCCAGACCACGCCACTGCCGGAACCACCGGCGTTCCCTCCTGCTGCGGCAACAGGACACGTACCTCAGTCTCCTTCTTGTCAACAGGCTCCCAGCTGGCTTCTGACAAACAGTCTTCGCTGTGATCAGAGCAGAAATCCTCAGTGTCGCTGCCGTCTGATTCCTTCAAACACGTCTGCAAAAGGAGAGGGAGCCACACATCCCCTCAGCGGCCTCGACCGCGCCGTCGAGGGCACGCCACACCACGCTCGAGGGGCATGTGGGCAGCTCCCCAGCCCCCCACACAAGGGGGTAAAGCATTCGGGATCCTGTCGGAGCTGTTGCTCGGCCCCCAAGAAGCAGAGAGATGGGGTGGCACGAGGACAGGGCACAGGGACAAGAGAGGAAGAGGCCTGAGGAAACAACCAGCACTCCAGAAGTAGGAGGTTGAGAACTGTGGGGTGGAGAGGGCGGTGGGAGGGGGGCTGCAGGGATGAGAGGCAGCTACTTACAAAGTCATCCTCGTAGTCCATCGGGGGCTCGGCCGGG